TACATATAAAGCTAATTAATATCTTGACATACACTGTTCCTGACATCCATATGGTAGATTGGAAACAAGTACAGTAATTTAATAATACATGGCAGATATGTAGTAAATCCATACAATCTTGTAAATCAGCATTCTTGTTTTAATATAAATACATTTCTGTTAATCCAGAAGCTCCCATCCATTTTCATGCGATGTATTATATCTTGGCTGTAACAACCATTTGGTTTCATCCAGCAGTTAACATGGCAGCATGTACGTCTGCCAGAATTGCAAAACCATAAAAAAAAATTGGTAGTATGAGATATACTAAATATTTACATAGTAACATAGTAGCACACAAATTAATGAAAATACAGCTAGGGCAGGAGGAGGGGTTAAACAAACAAACAAACAAAAAACTTACTATTCTTTTATCTGGCAAATCATAATATTCCCATACATACATACATACATACAGTGTTAACAAGAAGTAAATTGTGGACTGATTACATGGAACAATTTTAGCTACCTCTGAGGCTGAAAATTCAGCCCGGCTTTAACGATAAATCCAAATAAAATCCCATGCATAATTACATGGCAAGAATTTCAGCCCAGGCTAGCTGAAGCTCCTTTATAGCTTACACACATGTGTTGTAGTGTTTTTATCAAAACTTGTGTATTTCCTGCAAAGCTTGCGATAAATTTTCCCGGGCTAAATCAGATTGAAACTGCCCATGTAATCATCAAAATATTCAGCCCAGGTAGCTAGTTTAAAACTCAGCACGGGCTGAAATCGTTCCATTTAATCAGCACCTTAATTATTATATAATAAATTAAATTATTTAAAAGGGTATATACTATATAGTAAAAGCTACATGTCAATTAATCTATAACTGGGATTTATATATTAGAGGCTATTATTCAAACTCAATAGTTTGTTGCTGTGAATGCACTGCTAGTGCTAGTAGCCTGTGCTAACCGATCTAGCCTGTTTCCTTCTTCAAGCCTTTAAATATTTGTAAGTTAGCTGATGGTTTCAAGCTTGTTAATTGTTTATAATTATTTTACTCTACTAATAGCAACATAAAAAACTCCAGCAGTTCTTTCAGAATTGCCAATATCTATATCCATGCTTTTGGAAGTGTAATTATTTTGGCTCTTGTGCATTGTCAGAGCCCAAGCAAGCCTAAGAGGTAACTGAGATAAGAGATATACCACTGAGGTAACCTAAGAGATATACCACTTAGGTAACCTAAGAGATATATCACTGAGGTAACCTAAGAGATATACCACTTAGGTAACCTAAGAGATATACCACTGAGGTAACCTAAGAGATATACCACTAAGGTAACCTAAGAGATATATCACTGAGGTAACCTAAGAGATATACCACTTAGGTAACCTAAGAGATATACCACTGAGGTAACCTAAGAGATATACCACTGAGGTAACCTAGGAGATATATCACTGAGGTAACCTAAGAGATATACCACGTAGGTAACCTAAGAGATATACCACTGAGGTAACCTAAGAGATATACCACTGAGGTAACCTAAGAGATATATCACTGAGGTAACCTAAGAGATATACCACTGAGGTAACCTAAGAGATATACCACTGAGGTAACCTAAGAGATATACCACTGAGGTAACCTAAGAGATATATCACTGAGGTAACCTAAGAGATATAGTCCCCGAGCCGGCGGCGCGAAGCGCCGTGCGAGGGTACTAATTCCCCCCGGCTATTTACACCCGGGGAAACGAAAGCATTAGCCAAGTCTAAAGTTCATCAAATATCGCGGGCGTGACCAACGAACCTTGAGTGGGTGGTCATCCTCACTAATCTCAAAAATATGGCGGACTGTCATGGATAGCGAACACTGATTGGTCAAATTTAAAATTTGTTGTTGTATGACAAATGACGACTTCAACTGACAGATACTTCATGAAAATAATTTGCTTTTTACACTACAGTATTTTGTACGTTTGCAAAAAACTTTGACAGCTTTCAAAGCAATTTGTTCTATAAAAAGTTTAATAAAACAATTACGGTATTAAATACCAATTGAAAAGATATGGAGCCAAATGAAGAGAGGCAAGGAATGACAAGAAAGCCGAACGTCTAGCGAAAAGGAGGGAGCGAAGACGACAACGTTTGCTCGAGGAGACTGCTGAGGAAAGAGAAGCTCGCCTGGGAAAGCGTAGAGAAGCATGGAAAAAAAAGACTGCTGAAGCGAAAGATGATATTCGACCCTATATATTCGACTATTTCTTCACAATTTTCCAATAAAGAGTTTGTCATGACACGCTCAAGTCAGTTTAACCAGAATGTATTTCATTTATATCAGTTATCACAGCCACAGGCAATTTTATGCTGCCAAATACCGTCGGTTGCAACTAAAGGTGAACAGTTGCAGATAAAACATTCTCTATTCTCATTAAAAAGCCTGTAAATGTTTCCAGTAGGTCTCTGGCCCAACTCGTTCAGACCACACAAAGTTTTTTTTACTTATTATTGTACACATGGGAAACAACAATTAAGTGTTGTTGTTCTTGACAAACATTGGAGATTCTAATCACGCGAATGTTTTTATGAGCGACTGTTCATCGTTAGGTGCAAGCGACGGTACAACATACTATGAACATTTTTCCGACTGTGACCGAATGTGCAACGATATATTTTTCAAAGTTGTTCAGTCAATTCCTAAAATTTGTTTATAGTAAAACGGCCTGCTCAGCACTCACTACTCACGATGATTTCATTTAGAAATGCAGTTATACCAGGAAAGGAACTGATTCTAAAATATGTAAATTTAAAAGCATTGGGTAACAGAATAAAGCGATGCATGTGAAGACAAGGTACAAACTTTTATAGTTGCTATTTGTTATAAAATCGTATAAATAAACCGATTCAACAATAATTTTGCCTCGAATTTGCATATTCTATGCTGCATGTTTATATTTTATTTTTGTAGTATAAAAATAAAATTGTAATACTATGAAATAAAATACATTTCTGTCTATTGACCAGTACTTATTTAATGTCTTCTTCATCCAGTGGTCAGAGTAAATTTCTACTCCTAGCAAGTAAATATTTGACAAGCAGTCTGAAATAAGCACATGCAGGACTTTTAATGCATCAGCCAAATCCAAGTGTGCCCATCCCCCTCGCCCAGCCATTTTAATTTCCTGTAAAGCACATCCCGGGGGTTGGGCATTTCCACTCAAACCTTAGCCCCGGCGGGGCATTTGAAATTAATAATTTGGATTCTTGCACTTCACTTGTGGAATTAATATTAGAATGTTAGGGTTTGTAATCCAAGTGAGAATATATACATGTCTATATTTTGTAATCCAAGTGAGAATATTTTGTTATCCAAGTGAGAATATACAAATGTATGGTACATGTATATATTTTGTGTATATATTTTGTAATCCAAATGAGAATAGTTTGTAATCCATGTGAGAATATACAATTGTATATATTGTCACTTGGATTACAAACCCTAGCTAACATTCTAATTTTAATTCCACCAAGTGAACTGCAAGAATCCAAATTATTGAAGTCCACCTTATCACAACCCGCACACCCGATTACCTAAATATACACGAACTTACGGTTAAAGCTCAACAGCTGGCCTCTGAAGCTCAGTTGGTTAGAACGCTGCACCGGAATCGCAGGGCCGTAGGTTCAATTCCTACCAGTGAGAGGACCTTATGCTGCATTTTTCGCAGTCGTTCCTGGTTAGGTCTTAAAATGTATATATTCTCACTTGGATTACAAACCCTAACATTCTAATATTAATTCCAACAAGTGAAGTGCAAGAATCCAAATTATTGAAGTCCACCTTATCACAACCCGCACACCCAATTACCTAAATATACATGAACTTACAGTTAAAGCTCAACAGCTGGCCTCTGCAGCTCAGTTGGTTAGAGCGCTGCACCGGAATCGCAGGGCCGTAGGTTAATTACTACCAGAGGACCTTGTGCTGCATTTTTCGCAGTCGTTCCTGGTTAGGTCTTAAAATGTATATATTCTCACTTGGATTACAAACCCTAACATTCTAATATTAATTCCAACAAGTGAAGTGCAAGAATCCAAATTATTGAAGTCCACCTTATCACAACCCGCACACCCGATTACCTAAATATACACGAACTTACGGTTAAAGCTCAACAGCTGGCCTCTGTAGCTCAGTTGGTTAGAGCGCTGCACCGGAATCGCAGGGCCGTAGGTTCAATTCCTACCAGTGAGAGGACCTTATGCTGCATTTTTTGCAGTCGTTCCTGATTAGGTCTTAAAATGTATATATTCTCACTTGGATTACAAACCCTAACATTCTAATATTAATTCCAACAAGTGAAGTGCAAGAATCCAAATTATTGAAGTCCACCTTATCACAACCGCACACCCAATTACCTAAATATACATGAACTTACGGTTAAAGCTCAACAGCTGGTCTCTGTAGCTCAGTTGGTTAGAGCGCTAGTGCACCGGAATCGCAGAGCCGTAGGTTCAATTCCTACCAGAGGACCTTGTGCTGCATTTTTCGCAGTCGTTCCTGGTTAGGTCTTAAAATGTATGTATTCTCACTTGGATTACAAACCCTAACATTCTAATATTAAGTCCACCAAGTTAAGTGCAAGAATCCAAATTGTTGAAGTCCACCTTATCATAACCCGCACACGGCACACCCGAGTACCTAAATATACATGAACTTACGGTTAAAGCTCAACAGCTGGCCTCTGTAGCTCAGTTGGTTAGAGCGCTAGTGCACCGGAATCGCAGGGCCGTAGGTTCAATTCCTAGCAGAGGACCTTGTGCTGCATTTTTCGCAGTCGTTCCTGGTTAGGTCTTAAAATGTATATATTCTCACTTGGATTACAAACCCTAACATTCTAACATTTGAAATTAAGGATTTGGAGGTTTTGCGATCACTGATAACTTGATAATAATATAAAACAAAACACTTCTATCTGCAACTTTTACAACCACTGATAACTTGATAATATTTAAACCAGTCAAGTTGTAGTTTAAATAGAAAATAATGCATGGGTGCACGAAATACCAGATTTATTTCGAGTGTTGAACATGAGTGTGCAGCGAACGAGTGAGCGCAGCGAACGAGTGAGATATGTCATGTTCAACACGAAAAATAAATCTGGTATTTCCAACCACCCATGTATTTTTCTGTTTATTATATAAATGACAGTCTTGAATGAAAAGCGATAATTGAAAAGGCGATAATTTTCACATGTGAGATTATCATGAATATTTTCACATGTGAGATTATCATTTTTATCAGTGCTCGAAATCTTGGGAAAACACTATCTTTATATAATAAAAATTCATAAGTTTGAACCATGCTAGAGCATGACAACAGCAAAATGCTCTATAGTATGATGCACAATATTTTGGGAGGTGAAATACACGAACAATAAATCAGAGAGTGTTTGCTTGGAACTCACTGGGGGGGGGTGTTGCAACACCCCTGATAATTGCTCATGAGGAATTTCAGGTAGATTTCCAATGCACTTTTAGGTAAATTTAAGTAGATTTGCAGAAGATTTTCAGGGCAATTCAGGTAATTCTCAGGACATGAGAAAGTGAATTTGGAAAACAACTGTATTTTCGGAAAAATTATTAATATATGTCCTGAAAAATTTTTGTACATCTGGAAACATTTTGGTAACCCCCCCCCCCTCTATCTAACCTCACACACACCCTCAGACGAAGTGCTCGCAACGGCACTGAGTATGCATCTTTTGAAAACAGGCGAGGGGTTATTGCATGCATGTATTTCTAGTCTATTGTATTATTCTGTTCCTCAAGTTGTTTTCCTTGATTTCTAATGGCTTTCTCTTGACTAACAATTTTCTTTTTTAAATGAGTTAATTGCCCGTTAACAACGGCTGAGTTGCTGTTTATTTTCTTTTTCAAAAATTCCACGTCTAACTTGAGGACTCTATTTAGCTGGAGAACCTGCAAATAGTACAGTAAGAATTTACATACACGCGCAAATGCATGCACGGATACAACTTCTTATAATATTATTTGAAGTTTTAAGGAAGGAACGTCTAAACTCAAGGCGTATAACGTGCGCACAAAGTCATGTTTTAGTTGAAATAGGTTACTGAAATAGGTTAAGAAAATTTGTCAGGATAGTTTGTACAGCATTTACCTATAATATATATTTTAGCTAAATTTGCATATCACTGCATAACGTTTTAATTAACTCTAATCCATAATAAAGTTTCAGTGCGATCCTCGCGAAGACACCATCATTATACCAAACACTTCATATATAGTTAAGATCTAGGATATCAGTAAGCTAACCTCTTGCTCATTACTCAAAGCCTGCCACTTTGACCCTTGATTGACGTAAAGTTGTTTATTGTCTTCACGATACGAGAAGACCAGGCACGTTTGGGATCTTTTCTAAGCTTTTCTTGTCAGACGCTGTCAAGGTCTGAAAAAAATTAAAACTTGGCAATGCCCTTCTTGCTATTAAATAAAGATCTCAAACTCGTTAATAATTCATGAGTAAATTAGCCAACCATTTGCTTTATTTTGCTCACATTGGATACCTGGTGATGTATACTGATCCAGTCCTAGGATTCCCTGCTGACAGAGGTCTCTATTTGTGAAGGAAAGCGAAGGAGAAGAGACCTCTGCCTAGATCCGACACGTTTTCTGTCGTGCATGCGCAGGGGTTGCCATGACATCGAGTCAGTAGTTTGAAGGCAAACAAATGTATCTCGGCCCGATAAAACAGAACAGATTGCTTTCTTTTGTCTTCTGTCACTGCTTTCACAGTTTCAACTTTGAAAATGTCAATTACATAACTTAGAGCACATTCAACCAACTTGAAAAACCTCGAAATGACATTTTGATATTTTGACATACGGGTTCAATGTCATTACAGCGTAATTCAGTTCTGAGCATGCGTACTATTTGTTTCCCAAAACCGGTTTCAGAACTTGTTTTACAAACTGGTGTGACTCGTCCACGATCATGGACTGAGGAAGTTTCAGATCTAGGAAAAGGTCTCTTCTCCTTCGCTTTCCTTCACAAATAGCGACCTCTATCAGCAGAGAAGTCCTAAGCCAACAAAATCAATTCAGTGTCAAATCCTCCAATTCGCACTGGACTAGATTTCAAGTCCTCACATTTTGATTCAGTCCTCGGCTGTTATATATTGATTATATGAAGTACTGTGTATATTAAGGACAGAGACACGCATGCGCAGGAGGGAACATGTGTAGAGAGAGTTCATCTTGAAATAGTCGTTATTAAAATTATCTTAAATCAAAGGTTACTTTTGCATTCAATCCTTACTCGGTTTCACGAGAAATACATTACATCGGTTTCGCCTCGGACTTGATCAATTGCGCGGACTTGAAATCTAGTCCAGTCCTCATTGACTTTGTCAGATTTGAAATATTACATCAAATAAGGGATTGATTGATTGATTGATTGATTGATTCTTTATTAATTAAATATTTGTGCCCAATGATATTTCCCTATTTCAGTTGAATATTTCCGGGTATGTTATTAGTATGTAGAATACCAGATATACTCACGCCTTCATTTAAAAATGTACTGAACTGTTTGGAACATGACTCCTAAAGAGGATATAATATTTTTATAAAATTAACGATTATCGAAGTCCATACTATACCCAATAAGCTAAGTTTCTCGTATTAGATATAATATTTTAATACATATATACAAATTACAATATTTTACAAACAATGTTAACAACAATATTACACTGAAACAATATTTACAAATAATATTTAGTTTCTTAATTAACAGTGTCACATTTAACTGCTATTTTCGACGTCTCCTTTTCATGTTTGATATATTATTTCTTCTTTAAATATCAACTGCTAGTGTAACATTTTTCTTACCTTATGTGCCGTGCCGTTTTGTGGATCAATAAAATATTTTTCAATATTTCCTGCAGAATTTTTCATCGTGAACTCCATGCATCTTTTCCACAGACGTTGAGGCATTCTAGGTCGCACTCAAAACCAGACGAAGGCTTTTTTCATCACTGTTCCTCCATTAATTGCAGTACATTTAGGACCACAGTAGTTTTGTCTTCCACCTTTCGGACCAAAACATGCACAACACTACAAGGACAAAAGTATCCAAATATAAATTGCATAATGAATATGAATGCAATTTTTAATATGTTCCTTAAGAAATTGGAGCATCTATTTCGGCAAAAATTAATCCATTATTTACTAGAAAATTAGCTCAACATCCATCATAAAAACACTGGATAGGAAACTCATCATCATGCATGATGTTTTCAGCGTGGATGGCACCACCAAATCCAAAATAATGCCACGTTAAGCAATAATACAACTGAACATTTTAGTAAAAAAAACCCGTAAGTATACAACCATGCCACTCTACAATGGAATATCTAGATATTGTTGGTCATTCTTAGGGAACATATCAAACATTTTTAATAAGATTTTTGCTTTCGTAATCGCGAAATTGGCGTCACCAAAACTACTTTTGATAGAATTAAAATTTGTCGCGCATTTTACTGTCTACGATTCGTGACATCATGAATTCCAAATTGATCACGCCCAGTCAACGCTATAAAAACTGGAACGATAACTTCGGCTGTTTTTTCGAAGTAAAGATGGCGGAAAGAAGCCCGTCTTGTAAGTATGTCCTAGGTTCCTACGCGGAAGTTTACGGAATTCAGTACGAAAAATCGGCATTATTTCACGTGTAGAAATCTCGTAATTTTTTGGCCAACTATTTCTTAAGTCCGGCTTTTACCATATAGTCCTGAGAAACTAGAGCAAGTGGTCTGTCAGAATAACCACGTTTTGGAAACACTTCATCATAAAAAGGAATGAAAACCATGCAAGTTCAGAAAAAAGCCCGCGGAGAAACCACACCAGCAATCGTTTGTTTTTCTGGACTATTTACGAAGTGGTTGAACTGAACACATGATAAATAAATATGGACTGCTCTTGCATCATCTTACCTTTGCGTTTAATTTTTAGCTTTTAGGTTTGGTATTTACCATTGAAATGGACGTTTATGTGCAAAAAGTTGAAAAACATCGAAAAGAAAACATTAGTCAATTAGGACATGCGTGTTTTATACTTATAAGAGAGCACTCTATAGGCCGCCACCTTAGCTTCACCCAATCATATAAGGCAGTTTACATGGAGTTATATCGTTCCAGTATTTGTAGAGTTCACTGGTCACGTCTGGTCACGTCAGCTGTTCCCTATCCATTTTTCTAATTATCCATGGCTACAGTAAGCCAATAGTGTAGTGTATGTGGTAGTTCGGTCGTTTTACCTTGTCTTGGTCACATCCAACAAATGCTGTCGAATCATGATTCATTCCAGAATACGAAGAAATCGCGCTGAAGCTAAAATTAAAAGGGAACGTAGCAACTTGAGTTTCGTAAAGAAAATCTTAATTTTGAAAAATCGAGAACTAAGAACATCATGCATGCCTCCGTGACCTTAACGATGTACTGTTTAAAGTAAACGAACAGGAGTGTTTTATTAGGTTTAAAGTCACGAGCGCGCAGCGCGAGTGGCTTTAGACCTAATAAAACACGACCTGCGAGTTTATTAAACGGCTTCAAACACGACTACAAATTCAATAGATTTACTGCCTTATTAGTATTCTTTATATAAAAAATACTAATGAGAACACGACAACAATAGATACTGCCTTATTAGTATTCTTTATATAAAGAATACTAATTAGGAGTGTTTTATCAGGTTTAAAGCCACTGCACGTGACATATTATGGTTAACATGATTTGCCAATAAGCTTATGAATTATTAATGATGTTTGAAA